ACATTCAAGTACTCAATGAGTACAATCCAAACCAACAAAAAAAAGTTAGATTTTTCAAACTTCGATGCCAACTTCACATAGCTAAGCTTCTTTTCCATGTAGACACAAGCGTTTCTAGTTTTATTTCTAAAATAATTGACAATTCTCTGCCTTCGGTAAAAGAAGATATCGGTAAAGTGACTCATATTGACCTGCGGATTATTTTCCGGTTGAAATTTTCAAAAAGCATCGACTGGTTCTAATGTAGAGAATGAAGCAGTTGTAAATGTATTTTTAATTGAAATGGAAGGGGACTTCGACGACCATTCATGAGCATTCTTTTCTGTAGGTACAACTGTAGCAATCGAGCATTTGACCAGGCGCAACCATTACCTTACCAACCTCAATTGCGCGATGCTTTCAGTACTGAAGGTTTCTTTCCACAAAGTATAACTCATCATAGTTCACTTCCCAGTGATTTGAGACTCGATAGCACAGAGAGATACGATCGTGTTGCTAACGAGGTATTGAATTTCAGTACATCAAAAGACGACAGGTCGAATTGTAACTCCCTGGAGGTTATTGAAAATCTTGGTAACTCAAGTTCGTTAGGAGAGGGTAGTGGACTCATTATCGAGAATCGTAATGACAAATGTAATGCTGAAAGAGAGTCAAGGTTTAGCTCGAGCTGTGACAGTGATCGCAAGATATTCGATCTATCATCGAGTGAAAAATCAAATGAGTCATATCAGGAGTCGAGACTGCGATTTGGGAGGTTGAAGGGAGTTAGACAAAAGCAGTTGGAGGATGATTTGGAGGCAGACGGTCGAATCTATGGGAAGAGTCCGAAGTTTGACGATAACCTGGGTAACTTTGGTCACCTTGAAATGAGTCATGGGAATAATGGATCCAGAAGTGATGTTCGAAGTTTCTCTGGTATTGGACAAGGGACGGTAGTGATGTCTCGTAATCCAGAGGGAGTCGTCTTCAATACCTTAGAGGGGTTTGATGATCAGGGAATGATATCAGGACAGGACGGGGCTCTGGGAGGAATGAATTTGGAACGTATTGATCATGGGATCATGTCTCCATGGGATCTTCTTCAGTATTCGTCTGCATCCAATAATGAGTATTCGGTGGTTAACCCTGGTCAGACCAAACGTCCTTCATCCCAGGAGATGTTCCTCTCGAAGAGCGGACACGTTCTCGAGGACTCGGAAGTGACACCTGGTGATGTGGGGAGAATGCTCAACCTTGGAAACGCTCTTGATGGCCCTCGTCCACTGATTCGATCCAACAAATACCTGAGTCTGGTGATGCTGCATCTACCGGTGATTCTTCGACTGAGCGTCAGTTGTCCATTCGATAATGTTAGAATCAAGTGTGCCGAGATCATACACATGGTCAAGGTGAGTCGGCCCAATGACCTCTACTTCATGTCCATATTTCGATCATTTGATTGCGATGGACCATTTTATCTGTTGTTAATTCTTCGGGAAATAAAGGATCAACCATCAATTGTCAAGGAATCAGCGGTTTTATTGGGACAAATTATCTTATGGCAAAATTCAGAGCGAGTCGAGTTAGATTAGATATCCGACAGGGTAATGTCGGCTGTTCTTGAGATCAATACAGAGTTATAGATTTACTAGGGGAGAATTGACAGAAAAAAATTAGCGTTGAATAACTTACACGTCCAAAAAATGGCTGAAAAAATTTTTTTTTTTTTTGATCGGATAAAAACGGGATTGTAAAGGGGTGATTTTTGGGGGTGGAGAAATCTAAAAATCAAAAGAAATCGCCCAACGTGGGGCTCGAACCCACGACCCTGAGATTAAGAGTCTCATGCTCTACCGACTGAGCTAGCCGGGCTATAGTAGATGAGCGACCCATCTCCGTTTTGTTCCCAACAATTCAGAAAGAACATGAGAAAAAAAAATATCAAATTTTTCAAATAATTTTTCATTGAAAAATATGTGATTTTTATTAACAAATTGTTGATGTTAAACATTACAGGAAAGGGGACTTCCAGTACCTGAGCCTGCCTTCAACGGACCAAGTGCTTTCATACCGACGGCGGAGGTGAGTCAGACAAAAAAAAAAGTTATCACATTGCATGAGTAATTGTAATTTACGTGCATGAAAAGGGTACGCGTCCTGCCCAGAAAATATCTGCAGACGCTCGATTCGAAATTCATTTTGAATGTGATACCATCCGATTTGGATAATCTGCTAAGCGGGGCTCGTTTCACCTCAGGGTGATTCCGCCCTCCATTGAGAGCTATCAGCCCTTTTTGGCTTGCCCAGTGCTATTTTCACTTTAGATCAATTAGCGTCAATTAGGGATTAAAAGCGTGATGGAGTTTGTATTGAAAGTTGGAAAGCCATCTTCTGACGCGCGTGAAGTTTCCTTCCGTACCAGCACAAGCTATTGATTCTTGCCTACCCGTTCGGACGCGCACTTGATACCTGTTTGAACATTACATTCGGTAATGATTCTACGTTAGATTAGATTAGATTAGATTTAAGTACGCGGATGGTCGGACAAGCCTCCCCAATGCCACCGAAATCAGATTAGAGTTCTTGTAGCTCTGCTTGTTTTATGCGCGGATTATATGTTCAGCCCGGCCTTTGTTGCCAGTCTTAACAGATCCGTTGCATCCTTGTTCTCGACTTGATTTGCGGTGGGGAAGGCAGTTCCCCATACGTTACTCCATCGAAAAATTGATCAATCATTTCTTTAAACTCAATTGAGTCACCATTTGATAACGAAATTGAAGGGAATCGAGATTAGAATTGAGTCGGACTTGATTTGGTGAAAGATCCTTCATTAATTAATGTAAAGTTTCTTTTTTTTTCTGGTTGTACAATGAGTAGTTAAATTTCACTCGTTCGTCTACTCTTACCGCAAAAACTGACGGAAAGGATTACAACGCGATTT